AACACGCATGGCTTACGGAGGAAAGATTCTTATTCCACTTCCCCATGGATATAAAAGGAAAAGTAATAAGACCAAGAACTATTAAGATAAAATCAAAGAAAACTCAGATGAGTGTGTATAAATAAACGTGTACATGTATGTGTAGTGTGACCTAAGTGTAAGTAGAAGTAGCAAGACGTACCTGTAATCTTGCATATTTATGAGACAGACAAAAGACACCAGCAATCCTACCATCATGTAAAACAATTACAGGCTTTCGTTTTACACTCACTTGGCAGGACGGTAGTACCTCCCTGGGTGGTTGCTGTCTACCAACCTACTACCTATATATATATATATATATATATATATATATATATATATATATATATATATATATATATATATATATATATAATTTAGTCACTCACTAATTAACTCTCATTCACTCACTACACCATACTTTAAGTGATTCACAAAAAACACTCACCCACTTCTTTTCTCACTCGCTCATTGATATGCTTAAATCATTCATTCGCTAACTCCTTCACTAAATTACTAGATCACACACGCATTCTCTAACTTAAAGACTTGACCACGAGGTTTCTTTACAACGAAACAGTAACTTATAGAAAAAATGCAGTTTTCTTCAAATGACTGATCACATACCTTCAGGGTTGTCTGCTCAATTTGTGTACCTTCTGTGGTTCTTAGCATATCCAATCGATACTCCAATTCATTTCACTTGTTGGCCATAATATGTAATGTGACTTTTTCTGATGCATTCCTTTATTCTACGCACGGGTTATTTTAATATCACCTACTGAGTTCTGGAAATTTAGTCCCTCACAAACCCGCACAAAAAGTTTAAAAGAATGATTGATATCACGGGAGCGTGGGAGGCCGGTTGATGGACAATCCCGCACAGTTATCTGACAGGTAACTTCATCTTACGACAATTTTCTCTATCGTATGTAGAGACTCGCATTTTTAAGTATTTCACCATTATACTGTAATAATGTTGTTGAACACGAGAAAGAACTTTGAGGAGTTGACTTAACGCTCCACACTCACGACGTTTATTATTATACTTCAAATGGTGGGTAACAAGGATATCTCATCTGAACATATTACAATAATAACTAAGTTCTAAACCCACAAGGGTCATACAGCGCTGTTCGTCTGAACATAACTCAAGGTAAAATATGGATGTTAATGTCTTGGTGTGTTGTACAGTACGTTTTGCTTTGCCTGTGTTACAAAAATTCGTCGAGATTCTATTTGTTGGTGTAGAGTAAGCTGAGCTGCCCTTCAAGATAGGCATTCAATACTTCTCTCTCTCTCTCTCTATCTCTCTCTTTATATATATATACATATATATATATATATATATATATATATATATATATATATATATATATATATATATATATATATATATATATATATTTATATATATAAGACAAGCTACAGAGAGGGGGTGGAAATCTTCAGCTCAAGTACTTTCACACTTCTCAATGCTTCATCAGGAGCTATGCAGTGTTGCAAGGCAGCAACGGAAGGACAGAAGAGAAGTTTTTTCTCAGAGTAGCGCAGCGCAGGTTGACACCAGCCGCAGTCTCTCTGAATGTGAGGCAACGGTCTGTGTGCCATCCGGTCTGTGTGCCATCCGGTCTGTGCGCCATTCAGTCTGTGTGCCATCCGGTCTGTGTGCCATCCGGTCAGTGTGTCATCTGCCCTTCCTGGAGGCAGTAGATGGCCTCTGGGTTTTCAGCAGTCAAGGAATAAGAAATTAGAAGATACAATAGCCAGCCCCAAGCTTCTTCTAGACTCCTATAACAAGTCATGACTTGAGAAAATACGTTTCACAGTGGATAATATACATATGGGTTGCTATTATTCTGTGTAACCCCTTAACTGATAAAAGAAAAGAAATTAATGTAGTCTTTTGTTCATTTAAATGCTGTGGTCTGGGCTTCCAGATATTCCCAGGGGTACCTAGGAATATTTCTTCAAATATTCCTAAACATTGTCTACCAGTTTTCTTAGTATAGATTAATATTCCTTATTTGGGTATCTTCTATACCTTTCCGATAATATTTCTATGATCCAAATTTTTTCTTCGAATATTCTTTAACCCCACTATCTATGCTATAACTTAATCTTGTGTACTTGTCCATTTATGGTACAGTAACAGCTAAACTAGTTATATTTTATGCTACCATACATGAGAAACGTAGCATGAATTTGGTGCTTAGACACTGGTTGAGTACCACTAATCACAAAGCCATCTAGCATAATGAGCAATCCTGTGGTTTTATGTAGCATTGTTGTTTAAGATTGTGAACAGGAGACTCTACTAAATAGCTATCGAGCTTGTATAATCCATAATTTGAGTTATATACGAAGTTCCTGTCGTGTTTGAAGAGAGAAAATTCATTTATGTTTCCTTCTATAACTGAAGTGTTGGCATCAGCCCACCCCGGTGGGTGATTACAGGAACTGACGTGTCTTGTCTTACATTGTTAAGGTCGTATATCTGCGTATATATATATATATATATATAATATATATATATAAATATATATATATATATATATATATATATATATATATATATTAATATATTACAATATCCCAATAGGGTCGGAGACCTTTGGAGCGTGGGGAAAGTTTGCTCTAAAGTTCCTCAAAGAACTGGATGAAAACTCATCATAGAAATCAAGGACCACAGGGCGGCCAGCTTCCTCTTGCAGAGACTCAGTGTTGAGATCCAGAGACGAAATGCTTGCAACATTCTGTGCACGCGGCCCACTGCCGAAGAACTGGACGAAGTATTCGAGATGTAGCTCTGAGTTGTTAATTATGTTGTTTTACTCTCTATTGTATTTTTCTCAATGCATTTTGTCAATGTATTTTGTTTTTAAATAAAGCATACATGGAATATATAGGGGTGGTAGGAGAAAATTTTCAAACAGCTTCAGGGAGAACCTTGAGTTTTCCTTGAAGCAGTTTATTCTTTTCTCTGTTATTCTCAAATTGTCTTTTAGGTTTACTTCTTTCCCATGTATTTTCGTTTCTGGTTCTTCAGCTCAGATTCTTGTTTTCCTGCATTCTTTGCCTTCTATATTTTTGTCCATATTCATTCATTTTCAGCTTTTGCGCCTCTGCTTCACTGTGTAAATTATTGGCTCACTCTGTTCTTTCCATTGCTTTTTTTGCTCGTGGGTACGAATTTCTCCTCTGCCTTTCGGTACTTTCCAGCTACATACTCCATCTCATTCACTGAATTCCTTCGTAAATTTCCTTTCGTACTGCACCTCATTAAGGAATTGCCTCATGCTTCTGTAGTCTTCTTTTTAAAAATTTGGTTTCTCTATTCCTTCCATACCGATTCTTTCTGTCTCCAATTTTGCTTCCACAAAGCATTGAAAACTGCGGAGCATTTAGTCACTAGCACAAAGGATTCTTTCATACTGAGTCAGAATTGCTCAGGGTAAAGGCAATGTTCAGCCTTGTTGGTTCATCTTCTCCCGTCTCTATCTCTCTCCCGTCTCTCTCTCTCTCTCCCGTCTCTCTATCTCTCTCTATCCCTATCTCTATCCCTGAACTGTGGGTGCATGAAGTTCTCCATTATCACATCTAGCATCTTAGTCCTCCGTGTTTCTGGTCTTCTTTGTGGCACCAGGTTCTCCTTGTCTAATTCCTTGTGGTTAGTCTTCCATAATCAGCACCTTTGCATTATTCGTGGACTTCTCTGGTCACTTCCTCTGTTATATCTATCACCGCTCTATTGTCACTGTATTCTTCTCTTAGTCTCCTGCGGTTTCATGGAGGATTGTATGATACTGCTATCACCACCTTGGGACCACTCAAGCTTGAGTGTGACTAAAATGTAGTCCTTTTATTTCTCTGTTTATTTCAATCTCCTTTAAACTCCACCTCTTTCTGATTGGTAGTAGTACTACACATCTGTTCCTTTTGTTTCTTATAATCTAATATCCTGCTGGGAAAATCACAACTGTTATCCCTCTGGGCTTTTTCTGCGGGGTGCCTCCACTAAACGTTTATGCCATTCATGACTTATTTGTTATTCCATCTTCACTGGTGTACATTCTTTCAGTTTCATTTCTGTTACTGTGTTCTGGTTCTCAGGTTCCTGATCTACTGGTTCTTTCCCATGGGTCATGATGTTGGGGAAAGGGGAATAGGTGAGTGAGGTTTGGCAGTAAGAGTGAAGTGTAGTTGGGGTTGCCTTTCTTGCGCTGGAAGTGGTCAGAATCGTGGGTGTAGTTGAGTAGGTTGTCGAGTACGGGAAGTAGATGGGTAGGTTGGGGAGTACGGGGAGTAGATGGGTAGGTTGGGGAAGTACGGGGAAAAGAGGGATGTAGAGGGTTGGAGGAGTACGGGGAAAAGAGTTAGGGAGTGGGCTGAGGAGCAGTTGTAAGGAAGATTCTTGCTATGGTTGCTAAGAGTTGCAACCTTGCGACATAGTGATCAGCAATAAAGTTTAGTCCCGGCTCTTGCTCTCTAGAGCTCTTGCTCTCTTCTCACTATTATCCTATCACCACTTCCCACTCACGTTTCCTTAGCTGAGAGTCTAGTCTAGTCTTGCATTGGGAGGGGTGAGGAGTGCACGTGTAGGAAGTGGCGGTAGGATATGGTTTAGAGTAGCTTGTCTTTGTAAAACTCTGTGCGATATTTGGAACATCTAGGTCAATACATATAGGAAGCGCGTCTGTCTGGCGCTCAGCAGACGGAGGATCAAGCCTCCACCACGTCTTACGCTGATTGACCCACATGAGTTTAGCGCTTAACGTGAATTATTAAAAAAATTGTGCAATATTTCATCATATACAGAGCTTTTTATAGCTTAATCCATGCTGAGCGTTATGTTTGTGTTTTTGATTATTACATTTTTTCCATAGCATTAAATTATTTCTTACTCTCAACCACTTTGCATCAATTTATGTCAGTTTAATATTTGTCAAGTCATTTAATGTGAAAATCGTCGTCCATAGGAGGCGGAGAGGACCTATGCACGGGAGAAGCCAGTCAGCTCATCGTCTCCTGTCACACCTGTAGATGAACACGCTCATCTACGCCCTGTTATTGCAGCTCCTCCTGCCTCCTTGCCGAGGGAGTATGGAAGCACCACTACTAGGTATGTCACATAATTCTTTCACTCGTTATCTGATGTAGCTTTGTGGCTCTTATTTATCCTTCATTATCTCCTGCTTCTCTCATTTTCACTCCTCTTCCTGTCTGCTGCTAGAATGAAGGCATTGGTCTGATATATATACAATATTTTTTTTTTTTCAAAATAAACTTCAGAACTTATTGCAACAAAAATATGCACTGGAGAGTCAATACTACTGCAGTATTGATGGTAGTTTACAGTACTGTAGTTTACAGTAGTTTACAGTACTGTAAACTACCATATTTTCCGACATATAAGGCGCGCCTTTTTTCCCACACAAATCTTGGAAAATCACCCTGCGTCAAATATGCTCAAGGTCAGGTCTTGAGTCTTGACATCGTTCCGTTTTCTCCTTCAATCCTCCTTATGTTTCTGACTCATACTCATCTTTCTCATCTGGTTAATGCCACTGTATAACACGCTATCCCGTTCACATCCCTATCTCGACGATGCCCAGCTACCCTCCTCCAGTAATCAAGGTTGTCAGACATTCTTAGCTAAAATATGACATCTAGTTGATAAAAAAAATACTCATTTTTTAAAAATCAAGGGAGATAATGCCTTGATGCCGGTGAGTTGCTCTTGATCCAAGGAAGTGGGCCTATCCTTCCCTTCCTTTGATCGAACCTAATTGCTTACCATACTTTAAGGAATAATGTAATTATATAAGTCAATGGAGAGCCATTTCTTCACACGACACTGCATCATTTGTTAGTGCCAGTGTCAGTGCCAGTGTCACTGCCAATGTCAGTGTCAGTTCTAGTGTCAATGACAGTGTCAGCATCAGAGTCACTGTTCCAGCTGGAAGTCTTCAGATGTTAACTGTCTTACATATGTGTGATAATTACCATCTTAGCGGTTGCCGTTTACTTGATTAAGGAAGAGTTACAACATTTCCTTCCCTAAGTTCAAGATTAGCAACAAATTTTGCAGTCTTTATAATCGTTATACGTTACGAAAAATCCTTCATGGAACAGCTATGTCTAGAGTTATATAATATGAGAAAATAAATAGCATATAATTTTTTTTTCAAAATAAACTTCAAAACTCATTGTAACAAAAATATGCATTGGAGTGTCAATACTGTTGCAGTATTGACGGTAGTTTACAGTACTGTAAACTACCGCATTTTCCGGCATATAAGGCGCGTCTTTTTTTTCCCCACAAAAATCTTGGAAAAATCACCCTGTGTCTAATATGCTCAAGGTCAGGGTCAAGGGTAGGCTCTAGGTTACAAAATACTTTTAAAATTCACACCAACAATAGCATTTGCTACCTCCTCTTTCATACCATTTGACTATTGATTTCATTATTGACTGTGCCGAGAAATCTTCTGTAATTATATATATATATTCTGTTATGGACTTAGGTCTTTCTTTTTTCATTTTCTTGTCAAGGAAAGAAGGGAATTAGTCCATATACTGAAAAATACGGTATATAACTTGTACTATTCTATGTATACTATATATATAGTTTCCGGAAAAACTCCTTGCCCTCTACTCTCTACATAACAAATATATTATTACAAATCAAAAACTAAGCGCTAAACACACAAGGGTCATTCAGTCATAAAAATGTAACTTCTGAGAACTCCAAAACAATGTTTTATAAAAGTTATATAACCTGACCTGAAACATTAAAAGTGCTGGTGCCCGGCCAGGATGTTGCAAAACGAAAATTCTTTATTCTTGTCATTTGTAAATGCTCATTTTTCGGCGTAGAATAAGACCTAAGATAAAAAGAATCAGATGAAAATTTTACCAGTTATGAAGTGTTGCATTTGACGGATGATGACCTGCCACGCTAAGAGCGTCGAGATGCCAGTTAACTATAATAATAATAATAATAATAATAATAATAATAATAATAATAATAATAATAATAATCTTTATTTCTAGAAATATATGATACAACTTATACAGGCCTATCTGACATCACTTACATAATGTATAGAAAGCCTCTTGTTATGCAAAGCATTTCGGGCAACTTAGGTTAATTTTGTCCCCAGAATGCGACCGACAATAGTCGCCTAACTCTCAGGTACCTACTGACTGCTAGGTGAATAGGGACAGCAGGTGTCTTAAGGAAACACACCCAGTGTTCCCACTCCTGTTGTTAGGTAAGACACATATGCAACAGTTACGTATCCCACCCCTACTGGGGATCGAACTACGGACACTCAGTGTCTTAGCTGAATGCGCTGTTGCCTCTTGGCACAAACTTCTCTTCTGCCTCTCTGCATTTTACGGTCATGTGTTTCATCATTTCATATACTGCCTTTCCCTCTAGCTCTCTCACTTACTGCACCTCATGCAAGAATTACCTCATACTTACGTAGTCTCCTTTTTTTTTAATTTTTTCCCCGTCTGTCTCGTGCTGCTTCAATCTTTATTAGCTCTATGTATTCGAAACTCAGGACCACGTCATCACTAGCAACGAGGGGAGTTTCGTGTGTTATTTCCCTTATCTTTGAACTGCTCAAGGGGAATTCGAGGTCCAGCCTTGCTGGTTCATCATCTCTCTCTCCTCTCTCTCTCTCTCTCTAGTTGTGTCCCTAACATGTTGCTGCATAAAGCTTTCCAGCATCTTCTCCAGCATCTTGGGTCTCCATGTTTCCGGTCCCCCATGTGGCTCCAGATTTTCCCAGTCTGTCTCCTTGTAGTTGAAATCCCGCATGATGAGTAACTTTGCCCTGCTTATGTGCGCCCTTCTGGCCACCTCGGATAGTGTGGCACCATCGTTCATCTCCTCTCATTGCATTCTTGTCTTGGTCTCCTGCTGTTCTGTGGTGGGTTGTATATCAGCACTGTCATCACTTTTGTACCCCTGGTTAGAGGTGTTCCTACTATGTAATCATCGCTTCACTTCTGGTAAGTCCTCCCATCTCCTCAAACTACCTTGGTTTTTAATGTGCAGTGCAAATTCTCCTTTACCTCTGTTTTTCCTTCCTTTCGTCAGGATCTGATATCTAGATGAAAAGATTCCATCTGTTATTTACCCCATGAACTTTGTCTCTGTGAGTAGTGAGTACTATGATGTCCAGGGATGCATCAGTGATTCTTTCCTGCCACTCATCACTTATTTTTTATTCCATTTGTGTTAGTATACCATACCTTCAGCTTCCTTTCCAGAGCTGTATTCCTGAGAGGGAAGGGGTTGAGAGGATGACTTGGGTGGTTCTGTGAGTAGTTGTGTCTTTTGTTTTCCCCGAGGCTGCACTTCCCTGTCCGTTGGTACCTGCTCTATCATACTTTTCTGCCTCTGGTGCCCTCTTACTGTCTCAGTTCCCATTCTTTTTATGTTCTGTCGCATTCGAGGTACACTTGCTGAAATTTTGCGAAATCCTATAACCATGGTCTACCCTTACAGGTTCTTGTTTCATGCAATTTCTGTTTTGAATATCAACTTGATTAGGGAAAAGTGCAACCTAGAGTACCACCCAAGTCTCTTTAAATTTTTCAGTTGGGTCATGTTCTCTCCTGTTACCTCGATGCTCTCAATCTCTTTTACCTCCGCCTGTCTTCTTTCATCGTAGGTCTTACCTTCTGCCTCATGGAGCCCATGAGTAATAAGTGACCTTCCCTTGTCTTTTCTCATCTTCTCTCCATATCTCAGGGTCTGATTTAAGTATCTCCTTGGTTGCTTCCCTTATCATCTCCCAGACGTGTCGGAGGCCTGATATTTTTGCAAGGGGCTTCTTGGCTTCTTCCCCCAACATTCAACACCTTGCTCCTATCAGTCCTCATCTCTATATTCAGCTTCAGCACTTCCAGCTCATCTGCCAGGCTCTGCAGCTTTGCCTCTTCAGCAGCAACAGCTCATAACTCCCACTTCTTCATCTCTGCACATGTCTTTCTCGATTGAGCTGAAAAACTTACCTAACTTTTCTCTTACTCTTGTTTCATTGTCCTCTTCATCCTTTCTGCCAATGATTCATTATCATCCAAGCCATCCCCAGTATCCTTGCCTCTTCGTCGTGTCCTTTTTTTTTTTTTTTTGCAGGGAGAGGAGGGGGAAGCTTAGTGTGAGTGTGGTATTGTTAGAGTGTGTGTACTCACATAGTTGTACTCATGTAGCTGTGGTTGCAGGGATCGAGTCACAGCTCCTGGTCCGCCTGTGTGTGTGTGTGTGTTGTGTGTGTGTGTGTGTGTGTGTGTAAACTGGCAAGCTTTTTTTTTTGTTCCAAAGTTGTGCTTTAATGGTAGTTAAGCGAATTATGATGATACAAATTTTAAATATTTTTTCATCTTACAGGACTGTAGAGCACTGAACCACTAAAATAAATACGAAAACAAAACTAGAAAATAAAGGAAACCTATTTTCATGACGTTTTGTATTTTGACAAATCAATAACAAGTTTCCCTTCTCTAATTAACAAGTAAAAATTTACGGCATACATGTAAAAAATCTAAAAAAATATTTATATCATTGCATTTATGTTTGTACTGTTTATAAGAATTTTTTTTTTTTTTGATAATCTCTTTCAGAATTTTCCTTTGAAAAGTGGATACACACAGAGTGTAGTGCGTGTTTTGACGCCTTCCTCCGTGGAGGTTCACTGAATCAAGCCTGAGAGTCTTCCAGTCATCCTAGACGCTCTATGAACCCTATGGGTTTAGCGTACCCTTCTATGAATGTAATAATGCGTTTTGGCGCTGTTTTTTGCTTATCTAAGAGTTTTATACTCTGTCATTTTCTTCTTTTACTGCAGGTTTAGTTCCATTTCTTGATTACTCTTAGAAAGCAGTTGATCTTCAGCTCCTGGGTCTTTCGAGGAGTGTTAAGCCACAAGTGCCAGCTTATGTATATCTCCAGTTCCCAGCTCTTTTCGGTGAACTGAGCTCCTTGGTACCAACTCTTAAGGGTATAGAGGTACAGTATATCTCTCTCTTATTGGCTCTGATGAAGATTTAATACGTGGCTGGAGCGCACTGAGGCACACAGGGTTGAGGTTATGTGACACG